CATGATGAAAGAGGATGCCTTCAGTACTCCTTGGCCAAGTTCTCTTTGCTTAGCTGCTCCAGGATTCTCCCTCACGAGTTATTTCTTCTTGAGTTGTCTCCACTGCAGCCCCTTCTCCCTACCCAGTGAAGAAGAAGGCATCATTTGAAGATTCATGGTAGTTAAGAGGTTTGCCTTTCTTCTCCTCCTCCACCTCTTCCCCCTCCTTTTCTTCTTCTTTTTCTTTTTCTCCTCCTCCTTCCTTTTCTTCTTCTTCTTCTATTGGTACATATTTTTATTAAAAGAGTATTGGATTAGGGTGGGGATGTTGGACAACCACAAATATACAGCCTTCCTTTTTTATGCTTTTCCTGTGTTTAAAGAGGGAGAAAGATGACCATGAGCAGATGGGAGGAAGAGAAAGATGTGGCAGAGAAGACCACAGGCATTACCCTCAGATCAGTTTTTGGAATAATAAAAATTAAAATTTGAGGATCTAGAAAATGATTCCTTCAAAGTACTCAAGTCTTCGGGGCCTATGGATAATCATCAGGTCTCCCCAGGTGTACAGGTATCCCTTTGTGAAAATTGATGCTGTATTCTGAGGTAGTGATTCTGTTACTGCTCAAATAGGGGTTCTTCCGCCCACCACAGGTCATGTCAATAGTCAAGAGGCAAGGTGGTAGGAAAGAAAGGACTTTTTATTACAGCTTGCTAGCAAGATGGAAGATGGCCAACTAATGTCCTAAAGAAACCATCTTACAGAACAAAGACTACAGGCCAATAATATAGAGGGCTGGTCTCCGAGTGGGGGAGGCATTTGGTCCCAGGGTGGGGGCATCCATCTGGTCTTAGTTCCTGGCAGTCTTTTGTTTTACTTGATATGCATCAGAGACTGGAGCAACGCCCTATACCCTGATCTTTCAATTGTATTAATGATGGCTATCAGCATAGACTTTCTGCTCGGGGGTCATCACATTCCTAAGGAACTCAAAAGAGCAAAGTTATCAACTTATAGCAGCTGGGAGGGGCGATAAAGTCCAGAGTTAGTTGGAGGTCATTCCAAGTTACAATATGATTTCCTCTCTACAATATGGCTTCCCTTATGCCAACTCTGTATTGAGCCAGTATCAATTCCCTGTCTTTAGAGAGCGTCAGAATCCTCTGGAGGGCTTGTTTAAATGCAATTGCCAGCTTCACCCCCAAGATTAAAATTCTGTGGTTCTCTGCTCAAGTCTTGGGATTATGTATTTTAATCAGTCTCCTCAGATGATTGTGATGCCTGAGGCTGGCTACAACTCTCAAAGACACTGTTCTGAACTGGCTAGCAGAATCTCCCGCAGAGCTTTAAAAACGCACATCAAAGCCTCAGAATCAGAAGACCTGCAGAATCAGAATACATGGGGGTGGGATGTGTAAGGACAAATGAAAATTAAAAATAAGAGGATTAATTCTCCCTGCTGAAATAAGGGAAAAGATTCCTCTCCCTCTTTTTTCCTCAGAGATTTTTCTCAGTGTTCTTTAGAAAACTTGCAATCATAAGTAGTTTCTTCTCTCTTTGAACTGTGTATAAATCCTTTTGAAAACTAGATAGGCCATTTGTCATCTTGATGACCCATTAATGCTTTTCTCAAGGACCTGGGAGCTATCTCTTTGAAATGTAAACATCAAAGAAAATAGCACCTCTATCTCCCAGTTTCCATGGGAGGGTTAGGCGCCTTGCTGTAAGTTGCAAAACTACCCCCTGTCATAAAGATATGAGAAGTTTTTAATCCATTTTGAGTTAATTTTTGAGTATGGTGTAAGATAATGGTCTACTTTCATTCTTTTGCCTGTGGTTGTCCAATTTTCCCAGGACCATTTATTGAGAGACTTTCCTTTCTCCATTGTATGTTCTTGGCTCCTTTGTCAAAGATTAGCTGTCCATAAATGTGTGAGTTTATTCCTGGGCTCTCAATTCTGTTCCATTGACCTGTGTCTGTTTTTGTGCCACTACCATGCTGTTTTGATTTCTATAGCTTTGTAGTATATTTTGAAATCAGGGAGTGTGATACCTCCAGCTTTGTTTTTTTTCCTCAGGATTCCTTTGACTATTCAAGGTCTTTTGTTGTTTCATATAAATTTTAGGATTCTTTATTCTATTTCTGTGAATAATGTTATTGGGATTTTTATAGGGATTGTGTTGAATCTGTAGATTGTTTTAGGTAGTATGGACATTTTAACTATGTTAATTCTTCCAATTCATGAGCACAGAATATCTTTCCATTTATTTGTGTGTTCTTCAATTTCTTTCAGCAATGTCTTATAGTTTTCAGTGTACAAGTCTTTTACCTCCTTGGTTAAATTTAATCTTAGGTATTTTATTCTTTTTATTGCAATTGTAAGTGAGATTGTATTCTTGATTTCTCTTTCTGCTAGTTCAAGTTCATTGTTAGTCTATAGAAATGTGACTGATTTTTGTATGTTGACTTTGTACCTGCACCTTTATTGTATTCATTACTTCTAATAGTTTTTTAGTGGATTTTTTAGGGTTTTCTATATAAGAAATGATGTTACCCACAAATAGTGACAATTTTACCTCTTCCTTTCCAATTTGGATATGTTTTATTTCTTTTTCTTGCCTAATTGCCTGGGCTAGGTCTTCCAATACTATGTTGAATAACAGTGGTGAAAGTGGGCATCTTTGTCGGGTTCCTGTTCTTAGAAGGATAGCTTTCAGTTTTTCACCATTTAGTATGATGTTAGCAGTGGTTAATCAGATATGGCCTTTATTATGTTGAGGTACTTTCTTTCTATACTCATTTTATTGAGAGTTTTCATCATAAAAGATATTAAATCTTGTCAAATGCTTTCTCTGCATTTGACATTTTGTTAATGTCAAATTAATGTTAATGTCTGCATCACCACATTTTGTTAATGTGGTGTATCACATTGAATGATTTGCAAAAGTTGAACCATCCTTGCATCTCTGGAATAAATCCCACTTGATCATGGTGTATGCTCCTTTTAATGTATGTAAAACCTGAAACCATAAAACTCCTGGAAGAAAACATAGACAGTACGCTCTTTGACATCGATCTTAGCAGTATATTTTTGAATATGTCTCCTCAGGCAAGGAAAACAAAAGAAAAAATAAACAAATGAGACTACATCAAACTAAAAAGCTTCTGCACAGCAAAGAAGACCATCAACCAAACAAAAGGACAATGCACCAATTGGAAGAAGATATTTGCAAATCATATATCCAATAAGGAGTTCATATCCAAAATATATAAAGAACTCATACAACTCAACTACAAAAAAATAAGCAACCCAATTAAAAAATGGGCAAAAGATATGAACAGACATTTTTCAAAGAACATATACAGATGGCCAACAGGCACATGAAAAGATGTTCAACATCACTAATTATTAGGGAAATGCAAATCAAAACCATGGGGACTGGCCCGGTGGCGTAGTGGGTAAGTTTGTGCACTCTCCTTTGGCGGCCCGGGGTTCCCAGGTTCAGATCCCAGGCGTGGACCTATCCACCGCTTATCAAGCCATGCTATGGTGGCATCCCATATAAAGTAGAGGAAGATGGGCATCGATGTTAGCCCAGGGCCTATTTTCCTCAGCAAAAAAGAGGAGGATTGGCAACAGATGTTAGCTCAGGGCTAATCTTCCTCAAAAAAAAAAAAAAAACCAAAAAACTACAATGAGATATCACCTTACGTCTTTCAGAATGGCTATTATTAAAAAGACAAGCAATAGCATTTATTGCAGAGGATGTGGAGAAAAGAGAACCCTTTTATACTACTAGTGGGAATGTAAATTAGCACAGACACTATGGAAAACAGTATGGAGATTCCTCAAAAAATTAAAAATAGAACTACCATATGATACAACTATTCCACTTCTGGGTATTTATCCAGATAACACGAAAGCACTAATTTGAAAAGATATTTGCACCGCTGCGTTCATCACAGCATTATTCACAATAGTGAGGACTTGGAAGCAACCCAAGTGCCCACTGGTGAATGAATGGATAAAGAAGACGTGGTATATATACACAATAGAGTACTATACAGCCATGAGCAAAAGATGAAACCTTGCCATTTGCAACAACATGGATGGACCTTGAGGGTATTATGCTAGGTGAAATAAGTCAGATGGAGAAAGACAAATATCCTATGATTTCACTCATATGTGGAAGATAAACAAACAAACACATAGATACAGAGAACAGATGGTGGTTGCCAGAGGCAAAGGGGGTTGCGGGGAGGGCAAAAGGGGTCAAGAGACACATATGTATGGTGATGGATGGAAACTAGACTTTTGGTGGTGAACACAATGTAGTCTATACAGAAGTTGAAATATAATGATGTATACCTGAAATTTATATAATGTTATAAATCAATATTACATCAATAAAAAATTAAAAAAAATTTTTTTAAAAAGATATGAGAAGTTTGTTTCTCCACTAGATAAAGCTAATAAGCTAACACAGATAGTCACCCCATTTACCACGTGAGTCAAGGATGAACTATATGTGACAAATGATGCTGTCAAGTGCTCTTACTTGAGGACTAGTTATTGTTTATCTTGAGAACATGTATGTAATAAGTTCTATCTGCTTGGCTATAAGGGGGTGAGATTTCTTCCTGTCTTTGCAATCTGTCTGTGGACTGCCTGTGATATGTATCACATTCTGGTTTAAAGTTTAGGGCCGACCCTGTGGCTTAGCGGTTAAGTGCGTGAGCTCTGCTGGCGCACCGCCGCACTGCTTCTCCGGCCATGCTGAGGCCGCGTCCCACATACAGCAACTAGAAGGCTGTGCAGCTATGACACACAACTATCTACTGGGGCTTTGGGGG